CAAGTACACCAGTGTGGTCTTTTAATGTGAAAATATTATGTGTGTATATGGAGTATACAGCTTCTCATTTGTTCACTGGAGTTTTGATGTTAAGCTTAAAATCCTAAAGTTATTCTGATCCTCTCTTTTCCAGAAACCTCTTAAGCACATAAAGTCAGCTTCACTTGTGCCTGATTCTTTCACCTTTTATCATTCAGTGTAAACTCGACGTGTTTGAGGAAAATGAAGGAGCCGTCTGCTGTACTGGATGTAACTTTTCTGTGAGAAGTTAATTTTTTTTAAAAAATCTAAATGTGAGAGAATGCATTTTATTTTGTTTTGTCTTTTGGTCCTTTAGTGGGTGATTGAATCTTCCAGCATGATTTTAACAACACCTTGAAAACAGGTGGATGTTCATTGCATTAAGGAAGCAGAGCTGAGTAGTGAAACCATATAATACTTTGTCCTTTACTCAGCTCTTCTTGTGCACAACTGCTTGCATTGCGTTCTGGTCTACTGACGGTGCATCGGCGCAGAAGTTGAAACTAGTGGTCCGATGATTTGTCTCTGATGTAAAGTGAATACACAACAGTAAGTCTAGAATTATGGGTTTTCTTTTACTCTGTAACCAAAATATTAAGTCACTGGTTGCAACATCAGCATCACAACATGTACAAACGACATACAGCTGTTTAATCAATGAAAGGACTTAAACACTCATACAGCACAGGTGCAAGTTCCCTCAAATATAAAATAATATTCTGTAAAAAAAACCCAACTAATTACTATTTAACTGCTAAATAATTTCTACAATACATCTCTTGCAAACCATAACAATAATAGGTATTCTATTACGTTCCTTCTTGTGTGATATGCTTGCAGTAACTAATACAGTCGTCCGTACAACCTAAGAAACATGTCTGAGAAGTAACAGAAAAATAAGCAAGTTCACAGAGTTGTATGCAGAAGACGGTCGTCCTCATTATGTCGACGGAAAAAAAGGAATTGTTAGATCAACTAAAATTAACTGCTTTAACCGGTAATGTGCAGCTGAATACATAGTATTCAGATTAAGTGAACAAGTTGATGACACTGGTTTAAGTTTGATGTACTTACATCACGTGATTCCTCTCAAATGAACAGTGTGCACTGCTTTCAGATTTTTTTCAATGTATGTGTTTCATTTACTACAACAATAAAACACTATTTTATCATTAGAGTTGTTCATCTTTCCTTTTCTTTATTCTGTAATCCTCCCTAAAGAAAACAGTGGTTGAGGTGTGGCAGAGGAAAATGAAGGGAAGTTCACACTGAAGCAGAATAAACCGAGTTTTTGCACCTTTGCTGGAATTAAAACACCTATTTAAATGGACAAGGTGTAATTTTAAGGTGATTGAATCCACACGTGTAAATAACGAGTCACTGGAAACCAAACTTTACTTCAACTGCAGCCTAAGTACAGTTTTTTTCAGTATACAGTAGATGTAAGCAAATAATGACAGAGACAATATAGCACCAATAGTTATTCATAAATAGAACGTGTTATTTTTCTTCCTCTATCCACCTGATAATCACACATCCTTTCCCCACCTCACTGATCACAGACCTGAGACTGTGTTAGGGACCTCCATGTAGTGTTTAAGCAAGTTTCTGAGCTCTGGTCTTCTTGATGTTACTTAATTTAATCTGACAGAAAACAAAGTGTTTAAATGTAATCAATAAACGCACCCAGAAGATGTTCTGTTAAAGTCACCCACAGGGATGGAGAAAGCAAAAAAAACTTAAGAAACTGTGGAGTTAATGAGCTGCATAGTCCAACATTTCCTCACACTGTCAGATTGTCTGTGATGTGTTTTCCCTGCTTGAAAAGTTAGAGTCTGGATAAATTATTTAACTTCAGAAAGAACCTGGAAGAAAGGTGGAGAGTTTGATGTGTGACCTTCTGCTTGGAATCTGTGCGTAAAATGAGAAAAAAGTGTCACCATTTTTGGAGATATTGATGTGTTGAAGTGGTTTGAAAAACTACACGCACCCTTTAAATGAATTAAACATTCCCGTTTAGTTTTACTTGAATGGAATTTTTTTTTTTATTCCAACCATTTGTTAAATTCCGTTTGAATGTGACGCTCCTTTTGCGCAGCCACACATGGCGGCTCTGCTCGTCTGCAGCACGCACATATCTGCTGCTACCTCGCCTTTTCTGCATGTGATACACATTAATCACATGAGCCTCTCAGACGGACGGTTGTAGGTGACACTCAGGGCTTTTGTCAGAGCAGGAGGCAGGCAGGGATTGCGTTTAAACAGCTAAGTGCTTTCTTGGTCGCCCGTGGCACGGAGACGCCCTCGGATCGCAGAGGGGGAACTTACAAACGCTTTAGAGGTGATTTACCACACATGCGACTGATGCTGCGGGTCAACTTTTTCTTTTTTCTTTCTTTCTTCTTCTTCTTTTTTTTAAAAGCAGTGCTAATTCATTTATTACTTTTTTCTGGTAGTGTAAGTCAGTTAATTCACACAAGTTGGAGAACAAGCATGAATCAGTCTCTTGAATCTTACAATCTTGGGTTAAAAGACCTTTGCTTCTAATTCAGTGCAAATTTAATACGTGTATCATTCCTCGAATATCCAATAAATCCCACGAGCTAATAAAACTTCTGATGTAGCGTTTTTCCATCTGCTTTCGAGTCTGAGGAATTAGGAGGACGAACATACTTTTAATGCAGTTATTGAATGCGCACGAATCCCTCTTTAATTAATTTACATGAAGTACTTTGGAGGAAAAAAAAAGTGACTCACCAATTTCTCAATAAGAACAAAGTTTTCATGGATACAAAGGAGTGTTGAGCCTGATTCATTCTTGATGAAACACAAAACGAAATCTTGGCACATTTCTCACTAACTGGTAATTTATGAGGCTGTTAAGATAAAGGTAAATGAGGCAAATGACTGAAACTCATATTCGATTAAAAAAACATCAGAGTTCGCATGAGCGAGTCTTAGTTGTTTCAATAATTTCCTCTTGTCTACATTTATGAACAACACTGATTCATTTAATTTATTTTGAATAAATAATAATAAAAAAAACGAGTTAATTCATGCAAAGCGTGCCTGGAGGGGGTTGTGTATTTATTAACTTTGTATTCTGACAGTGCAAAGTCATTTTCAAAGTGTAAAATAGATGCAGTGATAAATAATAATAATAAAATATGTGACAGGTGATGTTTCTGTTTACATTGGTTGGATCAATAACAAAATACTGGAGCCTAGTGTTTAAAAAGAAAACAACTTAATATCTCTGATTCTAATTTCTATACAAAATAAATTATAGAGGCTTGTTAGAATGTAAAACTTTATGATTGGATGATAAACACTCAACCAGACTCTATTCAAAAAAATGTTAATTTAAAGGAATGTCGTCTGTTGTGACACATACAGCTCTAACAGCTTCTATCTTTTATGGGCCAGAAAGGTTTTGTTAATTGTGAGACAGGTTCACCACTTGATGGCGCTGGACTGATGTGAACGTCTGAAAAGTTACAGAGGACCTCCAACACATCTCTCAGTTTGAAATAAAGATTTACACTAAAAGTCGAAATCCATTTTTACGCATCTATGACCGATGGTTACTCCCATGTTTAGGGCCGAAAAAGCAAATATTTTTCACTTTAGTTATTTTCTTCTTCTTTAATAATTTGAATACATTTCACAGAATGCAGTATTTTAGGTTTATTCGATTTATTTTTGCTAGAATTATGGAGCGCGTTTGGTTTAATCACCCACAAAAACGGAGTGACACAAGTGACAGCCTCACACCTAAAAAAAAAAAGTCACATTTGAAAGAAAAGCTTAACGGCTGAAAGATGATCGCCCAGAGGCAAAACTGAACAAACCATCATTTATATTTACTCTGTAATGCTTCACTCATATCCACTGTGACTGGTTGATTTAATAATGTCTGTACAACATGAGCCCATAAAGATGGTGCAAAATCACCAAACATGCATGTTTTATATTTAGGATCAGTTTATCCAGACAAATATGTTTTAATTAATACATATCAACATGCTTCCTATTAGGCTCACACACATTATAAAAATGTCCCTTAATAATAAGATTAACAGTATTTTCCTGTGTGTGTGTTTACAGCCAAACTTATTGATATTATTTATTTTATTTGTTAAACACAACGAAACGTAACAAAAATATTCATGCCATCACCCAAACGCCTTATAATTAATTTAAATTAACGGAAACGTCCACACACTGCACACACACACACAGCATCGTGCTCCAGACGCACGGCAGAGGCCTTATATCTGGGGCTTGCATGCTCTGCGTGACCCGTGACTGATTCGAGTTAACAGCTGACTCTTTTCCATTACAAATGGCTCGCGGATAATCTAGATAACTACCGGATCACGCAAACTGAGCTGCCTGGATATGTCGCACCAGTCTCCGGCAGTAGATTTCACAAGACATTCGGATTAAAATAAGCTATCATAGGTCTTCCTCAAATTATAGCATTTATGCATATTATCCTGTTTTGCGCATGACTTTATGTCCTGCGCAGATAGTTTGGAGTTTTGTTTCTTGCAATTCAAAAATCCCAATGTGCACGCGCTCCCCTAATGCACCACATTAAGTCTAAATAAATAAAAGAAAAAAGCTTGTGAAAACATCCTCTCCGAGCTGAGCAATAACCATACCAGCAATTACACTTTCCTAAAGATCTTTTTTATCTTCCAAAAAAAAATCTATTTTTGCGCATAACATTGCGTGGAATAAAAGCTCCAGATTATGCGGACTGTAGGCCACCATGAATGACCACTAGAAAGGATGTAGGCCACACCAAACTTTTTTCCAAAAACCACTCACAGTTAATTTTCAAAGACCTTTTTTTTTTTTTTGTTATTTAATTTTTTTTCCTGGCTTTTCATTTTTGTCCCTGTGACGTCTCCTCGCCATGTGACCAGGGCTGTGGTATAAAACTGCAGCGAAGATCCGCCCCCTGTGTGATTCAGGTTTGGCCCTTTTGCAGGTTTTCCCGGCGCAGTTCTCAGCCTGGCATCGGCGGGGGTCGCTCCCTTTAGTCGGCGAGAAAGAAACCTGAAAACATATGGAAATAGGGAGAAAACCGGGGGACATCTCTGACCGGCGGCGACACGTGCTCCTCTCCTCTCCCCCTCCTCACATGAGTTTTTGAAGAGGGAGGGCAGGGCAGCTTGTGCATCTCATCGTCTTCCTCATCGGGCGTCGGAGCGCACAGCCGTGTGTGAGCCATGACTCTGAGCTCAGAGATGTCGGATGCCTCCATCCTTTCGGAAGAGACTGACATCGACGTGGTCGGAGAGGGCGAGGATGGAGACAACCAGACGCGCTCCTACGTGGACGAGGTGGCGCAGATGCACGACGGCATCCTCCTGGCCGGCTCTCCTCCTCCGTGCCTGGACAGCTCCACCTCCTCCCGGGATACCTACAAGCCGGCGGGTAAGAACACCCTGGTGAAGCCCCCTTACTCCTACATCGCCTTAATCACCATGGCCATCCTGCAGAGTCCCAAAAAGAGGCTCACCCTCAGCGAGATCTGCGACTTCATCAGCAACCGCTTCCCCTACTACAGGGAGAAGTTCCCGGCCTGGCAGAACTCCATCCGACACAACTTATCCCTCAATGACTGCTTCGTCAAGATACCGAGGGAGCCCGGGAACCCGGGGAAAGGCAACTACTGGACCTTGGACCCGGAGTCAGCTGATATGTTTGACAACGGGAGCTTTCTGAGGCGGAGGAAACGCTTCAAGCGGCAGCAGACGCAGGACTTGCTGCGGGAACACAACACTTTCATCCCGGCAGCGGCTGCGTACGGCTACGGACCGTACGGCTGCGGCGGATACGGCATCCAGCTCCAGTCCTACCACACGCACTCTGCGCTTTTTGCTTTCCAGCAGCAACAGCAGCAGCAACAGCAGCAGCACTCCAGGCACACAGGAACCATTATCCCCTCACCGTCTCTGATGCCCACCACCACGGACTTAGCCCGGAGTAGGTTTTACCCTCAGCTCAGCTCCAGCCTGGGCTCAGCCAGCGTGCAGGCTGCGTCCCCGGTGCAGAAGTCGAGCTCTCCGGTGCAGCGCTCCCCCTTCTCCATAGAGAGTATCATCGGAGGGTCGCTGAGCCCCTCCAGGACTTCTCCGGTCGTTGTCCCGGTCTTACCCTCCTCTCTGGGGCCTGCAGCCTCCAGCCAGCCGCAGAGCGTCCACCCCGGAGCCGTTATACACCCGTTTGAAAACTTTCCGAGCAGAGTTGTGAGCGGCACTAGCGCCTGTTAAATGTCTTAACTACAAACTTTTTTCAAGAAACTAAAAACAAAAAAAAGAAACAGCATCAAAAACAAAAATCAGCCCTCTTTGAAGGTAGGATTATTTTTGTATGTTTGTTTGCTAGCACGCAGCTGAATGATGGACATACCGATCACTATTTGTGCCTATATTCATGCTGTTTATGGAGATATATTTATGTTCAGAAATGTCAATCAGACTTTTAAACCACCAACTTTTCCTTGTATTTTCCATGAAGTGATTCGTTTCAGTCACTGTTTAGGGCGTCTCAGGACTTAATGGACAGGTTATTAAATGATCACATGTTTTGTTTTTTTTTTAAAGTAAAAAAAAAAAATAGGCTAATAATGTATTTGTGTCAAACACATCCATGTTTTTTTATTAGTAAGAAAAAAAAAATCAAAACAAGGTTTGGAGGTTTTGATTTGAACTTTGTATTAAAAGAAAAACACAGAGCAAAGTCATAGCCTACATTTATAATAATAATATGCAGTGTGTGTTTATTTCAGTAATAAAACATTGTACATTTTTGGCAAGTATTGTGTAATTGAAGTGTGATATTTTTACACGGTTTGTTTTTCAACAAAAAATAAATATCGTTTTGCAAAAAAAAAAAAAAAAAGAGGAATTTGTTTGGAAATAAATGTATTAATTAACTGGGCCTGAGCTGCGGCCCCCAGGCTGCAGGAAATAGACCGAACCATGTCGCCAAAAAGCAAAACAAGGAAACGTTAATGATGTTATTGTGTCATTTCACTGTGGTTGTGTTATTTTAATGAAGCAATACAGTAAAAAAAGACTCAGCTTCAGGGAAGAAGATAAAAAAAACTATCAGACAGCATGTGTGTGTGCGCGTCAGGGGGCCCCGTATCTACAAACACAGATATCAGTTGTTTGTTCAGATGCTGCACATTCTAATGTCAGTGTTGCACACTTTGGAACATGCGCACACGGGGCCTGCGTGTCCATCTGACCTCTCTCACACTCATCCTCGTAATTACGGTGAGCGGACAGGAGGGTGTCAGCGGGGTGAGACAGGGGCTGTATTTTGCCTGCTGCAGGTCGGTGATTACACCGGTGCTGATGTCGACAGCTGGCGAGCTCTTGAGAAAACACTCCTCGTCCGATATTTCATTATCTGCTCTTATTTGACACAGTTTCTCTCCCCCCCCCCGACAAGAGAAAATGAAATGTTGCTCCTCAAGTCTGCACCAAGCGGGTCAACAGGGCTCATGGACGGGCGCGTATTTGGAGGTTAAAATCACCTTATTACGCGCAGCATTTCCACTGTTGGCTCACCTTTATTTTTGGCTCTTTTTGGCCCTACTTAGACAGTAATTTGTAACCGGAGGCTGCTATTTTTACGCGCAGAGAAATTTGCATTCAATTAGACGCGCCGTAAAAGATCTGATTACTTTTTTTTTTTTTTTTTTAAACATTTGCAGGCATTACTCATCTCCAAAGCTGCTCCCTGCGCTCTGGGCTCCACGGCACCTCCGATGCTGCATGTTGTCAGACCTGCTCGTTTTAAATTTTTCATCAGCTCTGTATGTTGCCTTTTTACTGTTACAGTCCACGGCTGCTTCCGTGACTGGATGTGTGCGCCCCGTCGCCTGCGTGTGTCTGCCTCCCCCTGATTCAAAGCAACGTGTGTGTAGTAGATGGCTAAATTGGTGCAGGCTTAGAGCCAGTTCACTAGGCCATGAGAGGACAGCTATTGCGTGATGATGTAACACGCAACGAGAGACAGACAGGAACACACACACACACGCACACACACGCACACGCACACACACAGAGCAGGCAGTAGGGAAGGAGGTCAGTTGTACTGTATGCGCTTGTTTACAAATAGAAGGAGCTAAACAGGGAAAAAAGGGCAAGAATATAATAACTCGTCTCGTGTCGTGGGATTCCTCCACTCGCAGCCAGAGTCCTGCAGGATTTACCTTGTCCCTGTGGTGATCAGGCATCAGTCTATGTATTGTATTCCATGTTGCCTGACGCACCATTAGCTGTGCGTTTTTATTCGATCCTCCTCTCTCAGGCCTGTGCTGTGCTTCCTCACATGCGCTCTTTCATCATGACGTGTTTACGCTCCTGTGACATTCTATAGGATCTTCTTTGGGGTTGCATGAAATTTAAAAACGCAGTTTACCAGACACCCCCCGCTCTTTTTAACGCATTGTCTTTGCGCATTTGTGCAAGTAGTGACCTCTGAACCTCGGTAGGAAGGTTGGAGGCTGTTCATATTGGCACAGGCTTGTGTTCATCAGGGCATCCAGGGTTCCGTTTTTGGTAACTCTGGATGGAAGCAGTTAAACGCCACATTCAGCGTAATTTACTTCAAAAAAAGAGGACTGTTTAAAACGCTTCCTCGGGACCTGAACCTCATCTTATCATGTTGTATGCTCTTTGAATGTTCTCATTTAATATTTATGCGTGTGACTGTGTGTTGACTGAGGCCTGCGCTGCCATTTTGACCACCAGGCTTCACTGGTAAAAGATATAATGTAGCTGAAGAGAAGTGGAGTGGGTGAAGACGGAAGACGAGGTTAAATAAAAAATACGCACGCACTATGATTATCTATCTATCTATCTATCTATCTATGGACAGGGTTGTTGTCCATCAATATATATATTCATGGTGTTGATGCCTTTGACCTGTGTGATAATCAGTCATAAATAACATAAATATTAACTGCATCTAGAAATGATTATTCTTATTCTTATTATTCTTATTCTTATTCTTCTTCTTCGTATTATTATTATTATTATTATTAGTATTTTTTTTGTATTGAAAAAAGACTCCAAAATATATTTATCTGACCAATCAAACATAGGGATCATATTTGAAATAATAATAATTTTTAAAAAACATATATATATATATGTACATATATATATATGTGTATTTTTAGTTGTTACTTTTGAGAGTCTAAAATAAAGCACGCAGTCAACTATGCTTTCTAAGACTCATGTAAAAATGCCTGTAACAGTGCAATAACCCAGAATTAATCTCATGACATGTTTTCTCCGGAGTTGCAGCAGCAGAATATAGGTAGTGGTGCAGTCTTCATTTTTCTTTCTTTCTTTCTTTCTTTTTTTTTTTTTTTTTTTTTTTTAAAAGGGGGGGTCTTTTCATGAAATGTCACGGATCATGTGGGCATCAGCCTCCTTGAGCATGACTGAAGCTCAGTTAGCAGTTTATCCTGCTGGGTCACAGGTCATGAGGAGAGGGGATAAAGCACAACACTCAGCCCATAAAAGACACCGGGCTTTGGGGTAAAATGCGTAAAGACTGTGAGAATAATCTATATTTCAAAGAAAGTGATAAAAGGCTTCAGTTTGAGCTGCAGGACAGTAAACAGTTCTTTTTTTAAGGCGACATTTGGCCTCATTGAACTACAACAAAAATGGCACACTGAGCAAATTAGTTTGGTCAAAGCAGCAGAAGTTTGTTTTCTGCAGATACTGGAGTGAATGTGGCGACCACAGAGGCTGGATTTAAAGTGTAAAACGCACATCTGTGGGGGAAATACGAGTTAGAAACGTCTTCTGGCCTTAAAGGGGGTTCAGCTAGAAAGTAAAACTGCCAACATGCTGCTGCACATGTGCTCGAAAACGAAAAAAAACATGAGCTTGTGTAATTTTAGGATAATATTCACGAGGCTTTTATTATTGCTAACTTATTTAAGGGAAAGCGGATTTCTTTTTCCTGTTATGACAAATATTTTTGGGGGAATACAATTCCAAACCCTGCTACAGAAATGTTGCAAACAGCTGCACTTGTTTTGGCCTTCACTCACATGTGAGCTCGTTTAAACCTAATTTGGTCTGAATTAAAACTCTTTGCAAAGTATTTGATAAAACAATGTCATCGTAAAATGACTGTGTAGGACGTTAAATTATTTACAAACCCAGGTGCAGTGCACAAAGAACAGCCGGAAGTTGTTAGGGAGGAGAACCAATGCATTTTTATTGTTTTTGCTGAGTTTTTTCCCCCCAAATAATAATAAAAGATATAAATAAAAATAATTATAGTCATCACGATTTTTAAAATGTGTATCTTAAATCAGAACTACTTTTACTCCATGGAAAATAAATAAATGAAATCCCCGAAAGATTTATTTATTCATTTATTTATTTATTTAAATCAAACCTCAAGTGAGGAAAATATCTTGAAGGAAAGATTCACTAAAGGAACTTCAATAAAAGCAAAACAGGAAAAAACAAAATGAAACGTGTCTCTGTGGATCTGTACATTACACTGATGCAACATTTGAATCTATGACTTTCAATATTTAAGTCATACTCTACTTAGGAATGTATATTTTTCTCCATTCATGTCAGATCCCCAATAAGCAAAACAAAGTTTAAAGTTAGTTTTATGCACCTACTGAATACATCATTCCATTTATTTGTAAAGGAACAATACCCAGTGTTGAACTGTAGCTATTCACAGATTACATTTCTCGTCTTCTTTAGATCACTTTTTTTTTTAAATTACAAAAACAAATGTTTCTAAACTTTGTGCCATGTGAAATGTACTGAACAAGAAGGGAAATATAAGAAAAAGAGAGCAATTGGAAAAGGGGGGAGAGTGCGAGGAATGAAATCAAAAACAGAGTGAATACCTCCCAGGGAGGTGCAGAATCTCTCCATCTGCTATTCAGCGTATGGAACAGTCGCTACACTTATCCCCTCTCTCTAAAAGGAGCTCCGCTTTCCACCCCATTAAAAAGTTTGGGAACTAATGCCACCCCTGAATACTACCCTAATTAGAGGCTGCTCAGAATTGCAAGGACCTGCTACACTAGAGTGGCTTTGGGAGAGATTCTGCTTTTCCCCTTTTGTAACGCCATCGTTTTTGCTCTTTCTTTTTTCTGACCCATTTCATCTTTCTTTCTTTCTTTTCTTTCTTTCTTTCTTTCGTTCTTTCTTTCTTTGAGTCCTCTCACCACAGCTCGCCAACAAAGAAGCAAAAACAAAGCTTTCAGCGTCTTTAAGCGCTTTTGATCCACAGTGATGGTGAAAGCCTCCACGGCAGTGATGAGTACACACCATGATGAGACCTACAGTTACAGTAACAGCCACAGATGCATGAGGTGCTGTTTGACAGAGGAATTAAACACTCTGGCTCCAGTCCACCTCGCTCCACACAGGCCAGGGAGAAACTCCGAGCTTTCACCACTTTCATGAAGCGCAAGCTTACGCGTCCTTGCACATAATTTATTTAGCTGAAGACTTTCGGGGGTGTTTTTATTTGTTCTACATCTTGCCTGTCTCACCTCAGTGTGAACCCGCAGATCCGCGGATCTGCTGCAGAATTATGTTGCTGCCTCTCACCGCATTTTTCACTTTTTTAGCCCAGCACGTGTTTGCTTTGGCATGCTATCCACTCATACAAACAGCCGGGGCCCGTAGCTGATCCATCACGCTTGTGCAGAATGTGATGATAAAATAACAGGCGGCTTGAAACAAACCATTTGTTACAGCGGGATTTATTATTCTGTCCACTTGAAACAAAGTACAGAGGTTACCTAGACATCTCCTACTTAGGTTACAACAATAAATACAGCAAGAATTGGCTGCGCGCAGCCGCAGCATCTCAGCCAGGAAAAG